GAGTGCGTGTACATTTAATGTAAATTTTAGTCAATAAAATAATTCTATTGCTTATCCAATTTATATTACGCCCTTGAAAAAAAATGGTATATGTTATTTTAAGTAGAATTCTACTCAAAATAACATATACCATTTTTTTCAAGGGCGTAATATAAATTGGATAAGCAATATAATTATTAGAATTAGCTTAAGCTTTTTTTGTGCTTCGTACAGTTGCCTGCCTCAGCTACGCTTCGGCCGTCAATCTCTGTACTCACCACAAAAAGAGTCACTTCTACTCCCTATGACCTAATCTACTATTGTTTATTAACACAAAAGTGTCTGTTTTTAAGGGTAAATTTTTTTATGGCTACAGTTATTTAATGAAATTCTAAAGTGTACACGGAAAAAAATAATCGGTAGACTCTACCGAAAAAATCGGTAGTCTCTACCGAAAAAAAATCGGTTCCCTCAACCGATTTTTATCGGTAGCAGCTACCGATTATTTTCGGTAGAGTCTACCGATTTTTTCGGTGCAGGCTACCGAAAAAATCGATTAACAATTTTTGAAAATTTTTGTATTTTTTTAGCGAGAAGTTAAATACTCGCTTTTTATTAAATAGAAATAGTATTTTTTTTTGAGGTATAAATAAATTTGAAATACAAAAATATTAAAAATGAGGAGTAATTTTTATTAAATTTTTTACAATTCTAAAAAATTACATTTACTTTTAATAAATAAACTTTCTTTTAAATAGATGATAAACAAAACCCATTTCTTTGAATAGCATTTTTTAATATTTACAATGAATACCATCTCAAAATGTTTGACTGAAAAGAGTAATTTTTATTAACTTGAATAATGTTTAATATTATTTTTAAATGTTAATATTTTTAAGTATTAATATTTTTTTTTTCTAACAGCGCATCGATGTGGATTTTCTCGGTTACGGTTACCGAAAAAATCGGTAGACTCTACCGAAAAAATCGGTAGACTCTACCGAAAAATAATCGGTAGCTACTACTACGATTGCCAATCGGTAGCCTCTACCGATTATTTTTTTCCGTGTATGGTGCCAAATAAGTAATATTTTTGTGCATTTGGTCCAAATATCTGGTTTTCTGCATAAAATAATTTTAACTAAACAGCATTTATTAAAAAAATCTAGCTTCTCTATTATGTAATAAGAATTAAAGGTAGGTTAATATTTTATAACAAAAATATCATCTAATTTTGTAATTTTAAGGTTAGAAAAATTTATTTTGACCAAAATAAATAAGTATTTTGGATTATTTAAAAGACAGTATAATATGGTATTTAAAAATGTAGTAGTTTTTCTTATCCAGCTTAAAGTGTACCTTCTTTGGTATCTACATAAAGTTTTGTCAATACAAATAGTTAAAAAGCTTTGACTGAATTTGATCTACATCGAAAAATCATTATAACTTTAATATTTTAATAAATCACATGTCATGGGAGTATTCAATATTTTCACATTGCAAGTTTCTCTAAAACTTTTTTGTTTTCTTATAATCTAACAAAGTAGGTATGCCGAGAGGTATGCACAAGTTTTGTCATTAGAAGTATAAAAGCTTCAATTTAATTTGAACCATATTCAACAATTATTTAATATACCTATATTTATTTATGACCATATTAACACACTCTTCCAAATAATCCACTTATTTATTTTGGTCAAAATAGATTTTTCTAACCTTAAAATACAAAATAAGGTGATATTTTTTGTTCTAATACATTTGATACAGATATTCTTATTTTATAATAGAGAATTTTTTTTAATAAATGCTGTTTATGGAGAAATGTAGACCCAATACACAAAAATATTACTTATATTGTACCTTACACTTTGGAATTTCATTAAATGCAGTTGTTATATTCCTAAATTCTTAAACCAACCATTGTTATTGTGATACTAAAAAGATTTATTATCTTTTAACACTTAAACATAAGCGGTAATACTATAAATATTATTTCTTTCATTGACTAAAAAGCCTTAAATGCCAAATTTTCAAAAGACTGCGTTCCGTACGTGGTCACGTGGTGGGACTTTGAGGTGTGGAGCATAGTACATTTAATGTAAATTTAAGTAAATAAAATAATTCTATTGCTTATCCTATTTATATTACGCCCTTGAAAAAAAATGGTATATGATATTTGGAGTAGAAGCTCTTTTTGTGCTTCGTACAGTAGCATATAGTATATACGCTTCGGCCGTCAATCTCTGTACTCACCACAAAAAGAGTCACTTCTACTCCTTTTGACCTAATCTACTATTTTTTATTAAGATCACACAAAAGTGTCTGTTTTAAGGGTAAATTTTTTTATGGTTACAGTTATTCTAGATGTCCTGAAGTTTGATTAAACGTGGGTCGGTTGCCGTTGCGAGGTGTTGCCTATATTAAAAAATACAAATGTTTGTTAAAAAAAAAAAGAGAAAAATAAGTATTTTTAGGTAGATGGATGTAGTACTCAATATAAATAAATAAAGTTTACAAGACAATTAAAATGTTGCTCAAAATATTGTACATAGATACCTTAATTGACGATATCCATATCAACTTCTTTCACCAAAATCACTTTTAACATAAGAAACAACACGACAAAAATTTGTTTTTTGTGGAGTGTGGCGAACGAAGACGTACGATGTAAAGGAGCGCTAGGTTCTAGCTGGTGGCCAATTCAGGTAGCAACTACCCCAAAAGATAGTCATGGTATCTATCTGCTTTGAGACGCAATCTTAGATCTAGTGATAAAAAATAAAAAATAGATTTTTGTCAATGACAATAGTTTTAATACGGAGAGAAATGTATAGTAAATTTTAGATAGTAAAAAAAATATAGTAAAATTTACTTTTTCAAATTTTTAGGGTAACAATGTTATATATTCGTCAATACAATATTAAGATTGTAATACAAAATACTATTTTTTATTATACAATAGGGTGTCCCTTATTTTTATTTTTTTACGCATACCCTCTAATTATATTTATTACGTGTTTATATACTCCCAGTAAAAATTTCAGCTCATTCTATAAACGGGAACCCGTGCCGACTTGCATCTGAACCCTCCGTTAGCCAACGTTAGGCGCGCGGTATTTTGTAACAAGGTTGGTCGCGAGGTCTTCGATCGTAAGTCATTTTGTGTTTGTTATTATGTGACCCTTATATTACAAATTATTGACAAATGTTAAAATATAGTTTTATTTATGTGTATACTTTAATAAAAATGTATATTTTCACAGGGAGTGGCTAGTTACCCGGAAGGGTCTGGTGAATAGGCCGTAAACTCTGAAATTGATAAACTTAATGGGTTTTACTCTAAATAACTAAAAGAGTCTATTGTGAGAGATGACTACCGAAAACTTATTGAACTGTCTGAAATATTTTTGGGAGGACATCAAGAAAAGAAATGCTTATAAAAAGCTAAAATTTTATATAACAGTATATTTTGGCAATACTAATTATATTAATATATTTAAGGGATAAAATCAACTAAATTAGTGAAAAAAATGATAGAAAAAAAGCAATAATATTAATTAGTAATCATATTTAATAAAATCATTAGAAAAGTACAGTCATGAAGTATATCTTCTTTTTAAAGTGTTTCGTGTTACAAAATACCGCGCGCCTAACGTTGGCTAACGGAGGGTTCAGATGCAAGTCGGCACGGGTTCCCGTTTATAGAATGAGCTGAAATTTTTACTGGGAGTATATAAACAAGTAATAAATATAATTAGAGGGTATGCGTAAAGAAATAAAAATAAGGGACACCCTATTATACAATTTTAGTAAAGATTACAACACCAATATTATTAAATCATAAATGTATAATATATATTTTAATTTTTAATATGTTCGTATAGTAAATTGATTTTACTATCTACAAATAGTAATATTTATTATATGATTTAAGGTGTATCTAATATTATAATATATTACACATTAATAAAAAATATAGTAAAAATAAAGATACTTTTATGTTTAAGGTAAATAAACAATATATTTAAATATAATATCCAATTTTCTTAGTTTATTTAATAAACTGTCTTGACCCATTACTGGTAAAACTTATAAGAAAGAATTGAACCTACTTGGTTGCATAGTATGTACCGATTGCGGCAAAGGCTACGCGCGGCGCGTCGTTAGACGGTGGATCACGTGATGTTCTTACATCTCGCCTCTGTTGGCTTACCAACCATGTTATATAAGCTCAGGTATTTCTTTGTTTTGGGTGTGTTCCACTACTACAAGTTGCTCGACAGTGTCGTGTCGACACTGATGATACCCAATATAGGTCAAAACACCTGTCTGTCGGTATTTGAAGTTGATGGAACGCAAGTACAATAAATATGTTACAATTTTTAATTGTTAACATATAAAAATATTCGATTTTAAAATATTTTATATATAAAATGGCAACATAATATTTTAAAATTTACTATACTTATTAGTAATGGAAAAAATCTAATTAAAAACAAAATTGGATGAGAATAATAATATTTTACATTAAGGTTTAACATATATGGATATTTAAAAATTACTAAATATGCATAGTATCTGGCAATATACAAGATAGTTGTCCCAAATAGTAATATAAATTATAGTAAAGGGTATTATAACTATGGTAATCAGCATTATACTTTTCTCGCCGAGTAGTCTTAATTTAAAAACTAAACAATTTCATTTAAATTAATATAACATTTGGTGGATGGAAAAAGTTAGCGTATCATCACAGGCCAGCAACTGGTGGCCACGATTTCCCACCGCCGACAACAACCCCCGTAAACGTGGCAACGGCGGCCGCATCGTTTACCTTGAATTCGTTGCCCTTAACCCACCGCCGGCAATGAACTACAGCCAATGGATGCCTGGGTCGGCGTGTGCGTCACAGGGATCTGCGCGCCCTCGTCGGGGCCCGCCAAACTTTTTAAACCCCGCCGCCACCGTAAACATGAGACTCAAGTGCGAGCCGAATCCGATGCCATTTGTTGCCGAATAATGGAAGCGACTGCAACTCGCGTCTTCATCGCCACAGACAACGTCACCACGCAGACCATCGATGCCGATCTAAGTAAGTCGTCACACTAAATGCATGGATGTCTAGATCTCACCCACAACAACCCTCCTTTTTCTACTGTGATTGTTTACCTGTGTTAAGTGTTCAGTTTAGTTTAGTTACACCCGGTGCAAATCAATTGAAATTTTAATCAAAACTTTTCCAACAAGTGTTTTTGTGTTGACATTGTTAATATATTTATCTTCTTATTTAGTCACGGGCTAAAGATAACAACAGTGCTCTCTAACAATGAATTAGTCAAAAGGGGCTTCTTTTTCACTTAACCTAAATCCGAAACTACCGTCAAAAATTATGAAAGAAGAGCAGTTTTTGAGATATAGTCAATTCCATATTGGTTGAATGTAAGAATGAATGTTTAAATTCAAATTTCGCCATTTGGAATAGTGTATTTCCTTATTTCAATAAAGACGTTTATTATTATTATTATTATTATTATTATTATTATTATATAGAAAATTGACTTTATCTCGAAAACTATTCTACTTTTATAACTTTTGACGACATTTTCGGATTCAGAGGGCAATTTTTCATGGAAATTGACTGCTAAATGCTACTCTCTTAATAGTATATTATGTATCAAGTTTGATAAACGCCATTTTATACACGAATTTAATTTAGGCACGAGCCAGCTTGCGAGCGAGTGCTTAAGTTAATAAGTGTATAGAAAAGTTTATAAACGAGGTGCATACTATACTTTTTCTACGACAAATACTTATTATTATCTTAAAATGATTTAAATCAAAAATTTGTATAGAGCGCCATCTATAAACAACAGGGGAAACTGTCAAATGTCACATTTTTACATTTTATAAACACAATTATAAAGGTTATAAATCGAAATGTATCTTAAAAATTGACAGTTTTTCACAGTGAAAGTAAAGGAAATGTTTTATGAGGACTTTACAGTAGAGTCCGTGCCCGAATTTAAGTTATTATGTGTATTTGGATTTTATCCTCATCTGTAATTGGGCATTGCCTGTTGATGTTGAATATATATTATTATTATTATTATAGTTTACTGCCGGCGAAATTAAAAGGTCAGTACAATGTTCATATAAACTTTTCAAATATTGGCGTTGAGAAACTACTTATTTAATATTTTTGTATTTTTGTATTGAGGTAATAAAATAATTTTCACATTTAGTATTATTTTACAAGAAAGGCACTTTATTTTAACGATTGTATGACATTTGACAACTGTCAACTAACTTAAAACTAACTTCAGCCCGTGACTAAAAACCTGTTGCTAACTTCAGCCCGTGACTAAAGCGCCGTAAAGCCACAACTTGTCAATGTGTATTTAAAAAGTCACTTAGTGTCATGGAAACATGTACGATAAAGGGCGTTTTAAAGGTGGGAGTAGAAAAAATGAATTATATAAAAATAACTAATTATAAGTCATTTTTGACTAATTGTCATAGCGGAAAAGCTGTCATTAATAATTAGTCAAATTCAACTGATTGAAATAGTCAAATTAGTAGATTTAAATTAAATTTAAAAAAAGTTCTGACCCAACCGGGGCCCCGCGGGGTTTGAACTCGGATCTGTCGATCGTCAAGCGTATGCCATAACCAATAAGCCATCAGTCACTTTTATAAAAATCAATTTTATTGGTCTATAAATATTGCTCATAATATTTTAAAGTAAAATATAGGTATTTTTTGTGTTGCTGTTTTGAGCTAAACATTTTGCAACTTTGTTTGTTTTTATTAGCAATTTATCCATGTGGCCTATATGCATTTAAACAATAATTTGTTGTTGGCTGCAAACGATTAAAGAAATGAGTTGCTTTTAACTCTAAGAAATAGTAAAGATGGTGACTCTTTTATAAACTTCTCTAGACACTCATTTTTACTAAACACTCGCTCGCAAGTTTCGCTCGTGCCTAATAAAACTCCTAACTAAAATGGCGATTATAAAACTTGATCGATTACACTCAAAACCATTATTTATTGATTTAATTTGTTGCCATAACAATCCTTTGTAAATATTTAATATTTAAATATAAATGAATCGGTGAGATTAAGAACAGTACAAGTCCAAAAATTTTATTTTGATAAATCATTTTTTAAAATCAGTTTAAAAATTTTAAATGCAGATATAAATGATTTTATAAAAAATTCATTTTGAACTATAAAACTGATTTTATAAAATAGTTTGTCAAAATTTTAACCTTTTTGACTGTTATTTATCTAACAGATTCAAATGCATAGTAGAATCTAGAAAACTCCCTGTCTATTTTATGCTTCATTAACACAAAAATCGAACTAATTTAACAAAAACCATAATTACAACCCTAATCCTAAAATAATTAAAAATTAATAAAAAATGCAGACAATCTTAAAACCACATTGTTCTTTACAGCATTGTTTTTGTCGGGATTGATTGGTTATTTCAAAGTACATTGTATCTTAAAAGTTTTACCGTTCAAAACTCCATTAAAAAATATCGATTATTTTTTGCTACTTGCAAATAAAAAAGCTTTTACGTGTTTAGATTACCTTAAGAGGTAATAAATTGCCTATTTAAAAGGAGCTCTGAAACATTAAAGATATTATTCATAATTAATGTACACCAAAGAAAAACAGAGATAATATGTTTTTTTATAGTTTTTAGTTTTTTCTCAAATTTAAATTAGGTTTTTTTAAACTTTACTTCACATTTGAATGTGTATAATTGTTTTTTTATTTGTAAACAATTCAATTGATTCTAAAAATCATAGGGGAATTCTAAAAGGCTAAACTGATAAATTAAAACAAAATGTTTTCCCTAAAGAAAATCCAACGGCAATTGAAAAACTATTTTTAGACTTTACGGGAAAATAATTCCCGACAAACATTGAACCCACATGAACAAATTTTCAGTACGTTTACCCCTGATAAATACACTTTAAGCACGGGTTAACAATAATAAACGTATACAAATCAACTATACAAATCAACTATATTTTGTTAAACGGTACATAAAACAAACAATAATTGTTATAATAAACTAAAAACTAAAAACATCGTCATAGTTTCGTGTTTTAATTTTTGCAATTACGTTTCTTCATTGAAAACTAAAATTATAAAGGAAAAAGCACATTTAAACAGATTTTCAGATAACTTTTGATGGACACTATAAATTAGAGCACACCTTTGATCTACTGAATATTCTCTTTGTGTCAAGTCTTTTATATTTTCGATGACAAAAGACATTTTATATTATGCAACAAAATTGTACTATATAATAGAAAAAGTTAATTATTTTAATCTAGAATATAACAATGTTAATTTCTGCATTCTGGTCTTATCTGTTTCATAAAGTTTGAAAAGTAGCTTTTGTAGCGAGATTTATAGTTGTTATTTTTCGCGAAGTAAAATTTCTAAAACTTGTGTGGTTAAATTTTAAATAATACGTTTTATTGAGCTGACACAAAATCAATATTATCCTTTACTGTTGCTTACTTTTCGTGCAACAGGTTTGTACTCAGAGTTTAGGGTAACGACATAATAAAAATTTAAGAAATTTAGGTTTTGTTTAATATAAAATTATGTAAAAGTTTTGATTTTTAAATTTTTATGACATTTAAAAAACTACACATGCTTACAAAGTTGGTTACATTTTTGTAGACTGGACAGGTCACAAATCACATAATTTTTTATTAAACAAGACCAAACAATGTACAGGATGAAATTTATCCAGATGAGTTTTTAAGTAGATTTTAATTGCAAATCGCTGATCTAATTTAAAATTTTAGTTGCAACAGCATATCACAAATTAAATATTTTACCCCAATAGTAAGTCCGCCTTTTCAGTGGTGTAGTAGTTAGCACTGCGGACTACAAGCCGAGAGGTCGTGGGTTCGAATCCCACCAGGGGTATGGCTGTTTAATTGTGTGTGTCAGTGTGTACTCCTGTAATTGGGCCTGGTGCCTGTTGGAAGCACATTAAAATAATACAATAAATAATACAATAATAATCTCAATATAATTGACAAAATAAGTATCAAAATCTATTGCATTGAGAGAATAACCGATATACCAAAGAGTCTTATAATAAAATGGATTATTTGTAAAAAGGGCTTCATTTAATTTTGCTAGTTTTGAATCAACCATAAAAAACGGTCTAGACGTTATTAAAACTGCATTTTGCTTTCCTTTATATGGTCGATGCAGTTAAAACTTTTCAAAATAAATAATTTGTTTTGCTTTAAAATATGCTATATAATTTAGTATATAGTTTGTAGAGAGTTTATTATTTCAATTTATTTAATACAGTAATTTAATATTTCATAAATAATAATATTAATTAGGTTAAATAAATAATTAAAAAATAATTAGTATTAGAAGATTTTTTTATTGTTAAATCTTTATAGAAAAATCTTGGTTTACCGCCTTTTGTTAGTTTTTTTGTAAATAGAATTTTTTTGAGCTTTTTAAATGAACAATTCTTTAAATCTGCAAATAATATAATAAGTTTGTCGTCATTTTTAATTACTTTTTTACTGATTTTTTTAAATAATCCCACATTGTTTACTATTGGTAAAAATTGATTAAAATGTTCGATGACAGACATGTCTAAAAATGATAAAGTACATTAGGCACTTCACTGCATTCTCTTTGATGCTGTAGTAGACTGTTTTTAACAGAAGGATGCGTACCTTTATTAAAATTCGTATTTATATCGCTCTATTACTTGACTCTCTTCATTCAATATTCATAATTTACAAAAGAACTTGAAATTAAAATAAAATAAGTTTTTGTATGTTCAAAATTACAATATCATACGACATCTTTTTTTTAATAATATTATTATTTATTTAAAATTTATTGATTTACCACTTTTTTTATTTTTAGGTTTTGTACCCTTATGAAAGGTGAGTGGAGCATGTTCTCCCCGGTTTTTATTTAAATAAAATATTATATTATAATAATTTAATAATTGTGTAATATTAAATACATACTCGTATAGCATGCGATCAACCCAATCTTTTTTGTTAATTTATTTTGTGTATTACTTATTTTAAATGTTAATGCGGAAAAAATCAATATATTTATTAAGGTTAAATTGTTTTGTAATATTAAGAAAATTATATACAGGGTGTTTCACATTCGTGGTAGATTAGAAGTTTCTGGGGAAAAATCCATTTTTCTTAAATATAATTAACAAAATGCTCAAAGTGACATCAACTTTGTTATTTCAAATAGTCCATATATTTTTACATTTTTAAATTCTACATAAAACTCTGAGTAAAATTACTTTACAATGTCTCTTACCTAAAATGAATAGTTTTCGAGTTATTATATTTTTCGTTAAAATTTGACAAATGCGCGTCAATTAAAAATAGCCAAATTTCAAAAATCCAAATTTTACAGATTTTATACGATTATAAATTTTTAACATTTCTTTTCAAAGAAACATTAAAAATTCAAAATGATATAAAATCTGTATGATTTTTCGATAAACTATGGTAAATAATAAAATGCACCAATAAAATTTATATTATATTTATTGGGGGCGCCATGGGGCCGGTACAGCCGAGCAAAAAGTTACCTTTTTTCGCAAACTTTAATTTAAATTATGCTTGCGCAGAACTTGTTTATTTAATGTCATTATAAACTTATATAAATTTAGTGTGGGTCCCATATCTAATAACTGAGATTTTGGTATACCCAAAATCCACCAGCCGCCACTGACCACCAATGTGAAACACTTTGTATGTATTATTATAATTTTATGTTAATAATTTTAAAATGTATTGTTTTTTTAATATTATGTATTTTTATGACATAAAATGTACGTAAAAATAGTAATGAATTTTAATTTGTCAACGTTCCAAATGTCAAAATAAAAAATATCTAAAACTTGCCAAGATTTTGCATGACAGATTAAGAAGAGTTGAGAATATGGCTTTAATGTTTGCATGTTTTATAAATTTTAAATAATTTTATAGAAATCATTAATGATAATAGTATATTATGTATCAAGTACCATTTTATACACGAATTTAATTTGTGCTTAAATTAATGAGTGTATAGAAAACTTTTTCTACTTAAAATGATTTAAATAAAAAAATTGTATAGAGCGCCATCTATGAAACAATAGGGGAATCTGTGTGTTACCGTCAAATGTCAATTTTTTTTATTTTATAAACACAGATTATAAAGGTTATAAATCGAAATGTATTTCTTGAAAATTGACAGTTTTTCACAGTGAAAGTAAAGAAAATGTTTTATGAGCACTTTACACTGTTTACAGTGGAGTCCGTGTCCGAATTTAAGTTATAGTTTACTACCGGCGAAATTAAAAGGTCAGTACAATGTTCATATAAACTTTTCAAATATTGGCGTTGAGAAACTATGTAATACTTTTGTATTTTTGTATTGAGATAATAAAATAATTTTCACATTTGAAATAATTTTACAAGAAAGGCACTTTATTTTAACGATTGAATGACATTTGACAACTGTCAACTAACTTAAAACTAACTTCAGCCCGTGACTAAAAACCTGTTGCTAACTTCAGCCCGTGACTAAAGCGCCATAAAGCCACAACTTGTCAATGTGTATTTAAAAGGTCACTTAGTGTCATGGAAACATGTATAATAAAGGGCGTTTTAAAGGTGGGAGTAGAAAAACATGTTTAAATGTAAAACTTGAAAATCTTTCAAAAAAATTTTGATGTTTTTGAGAAATTTTTCTTTAATATTTTGGTTCTTTATTTCGGGTTAGAAATGGCCAATCCGGTTGCAAAAAGTGTCAAATTAAACATATTCAAGTCGCCGACAAATCTCACTTTCTTAGTGCCCAATCAGTTAATTAGCTTCAAATATTGAAAAAATGGGAATGCAACATTATTATAGGATGAACAAAAATAAGTATGTCACACGGAGAGAAATGTATAGTAAATTTTAGATAGTAAAAAAATATAGTAAAATTTACTTTAACAAATTTTTAGGGTAACAATATTATATATTCGTCAATACAATATTAAGATTGTAAGACAAAATACTATTTTTTATTATACAATTTTAGTAAAGATTACAACACCAATATTACTAAATCATAAATGTATAATATATATTTTTATTTTTAATATGTTCGTATAGTAAATTGATTTTACTATCTACATATAGTAACAATTACTATATGATTTAATCAAATGTAAGGTGTACATCTAATATTATAATATATGTATTACACATTAATAAAAAATATAGTAAAAATAAAGATACTTTTATGTTTAAAATAAACAATATTATTAAATATAATATACAATATAGTAACTCATGACATTTTAAACATTCAATTTTCTTAGTTTCTTCAATAAACTTTTTTGACCCATTACTGGTAGTACTTATAAGAAAGAATTGAACCTACTTGGTTGCATAGTATATAACGATTGCGGCAAAGGCCACGTCACGATGCGTCGTTAGACGGTGTGGATCACGTAATGTTCTTACATCTCGCCTCGGTTGGCTTACCAACCATGTTATATAAGCTCAGGTATATATTTGTTTTGGGTGTGTTCCACTACTACAAGTTGCTCGACAGTGTCGTGTCTACACTGATGATACCCAATATAGGTCAAAACAACTGTCTTTCGGTATTTGAAGTTAATGGAATGCACTCAAAACAAAAAACTTTGGCGAGGTGTAGGTTCAATTATTTCTTATAACATTTTTGTATATTAAAAAGTACAATAAATATGTTACAATTTTTAATTGTTAACATATAAAAATATTCGATTTTAAAATATTTTATATTTAAAATAGCAACATAATATTTTAAATTAGTATCTGGCAATATACAAGATAGTTGTCCCAAATAGTAATATAAATTATAGCAAAGGGTATTATAATTATGGTAATCAGCATTATACTTTTCTCTCCGTTCAATTCAAACTGTTACGAAGAAAACAAGATATATATCTTATAGCTGGTCAGTTGTGGTTAAATGTATGAATGATTTCTTAGGTGGCATTGTCTTTGCATACTACCATTTTTCTTTGTTTCAGATTTGATAAATTTGATGTTTGGCGTGGTTCCTTACTTGGTTGTATCTTTGGTTGTGGTCGTGATAATGGCGTTGCTCGTGATGGCTGCCCTGAACTACCACTGCTCGATCACGTGGCGGTGGCTGAAGTACAAGGCGTGCGGCAAACGGGGCGACATCGAGGAATCAGAGCCGAACATCATTAATTTAAATCAGACGTCCGTTCAAATCAGCCACTCGTTGCCCGATCTACAGGCCGAGGCCATCCAACCGATAATGCACGACATCAAGGAAACTACCACCAAAAAGGCAAGTTCAATATTTGCACTGAACATAGGACAAAAGAGTCTTTTAATTGATAGGTTTCTTGTCTGAAACATTTTGAACCCACAAACTGAAGGTAAAATTTCCTGTCAATATATAAACGTATTAACCTACATAAACGAAAATCACATGTCAGCAAAATTTAATTATTTTTGGTAGGTGTTCCTTTTCATTCTAAACAATGGCTACAAACCTTTATTATGGAAAAGTTTGACAATCAACCTGATACTCCAGAAGTTTACGAAGTACGAAAGTTGGTCAAACCAATATCCGAACAAAATTTATACGAAGATACAATGTAATTTATGAGATGCTTAATTGGATTAATTTTGATTTATGTTCGAAATAAGAGTTAAGTTTAGATTTTAATTTAACAAGAAAATTTATTCCTTTATCAGTACTAGAATCGGTCAAGTTTTAAACACAACATTATTTTAACAAAGGAAAATATTTTGCCGAAAGTTTTGTAAAGGCAATAGGCATTTTGTTAATTTCAAAGGGTTTTTTTTTAAGACTAGGAGGTAAAAAAAACATTACCCGCTTGGTTTAGATTATTTTTACAGCCTGAGATGTTTCAGATGTTTAGGGGATTTTTGTATATAAATAATAATAATAATAATAAATAAATTAACCTTAGGTCATGTATCAAAAAACCTAAGCAAGTGACGTTTAATGTTTTATGCAATTTTACTCAAAGCCATACACATTATACCAACTTAATGAAAGCATAAAAAATATCAATTTATGTTTTATATTATATGACCCTTTTTTTACTCCAGACGTGCAAAGGTTTACCTTAGTTCAAAAGTCCCATTATTATTAGTCTGAAATTGTACACAAAGAAAACGTTTTTGCTGTGAATATAATTTAAGAGTTTTGCCATATTTTCGGCAATATACATTTACCTAATCAATCATACTCAACTTTTCATATTATAAAGTTAATGAAATAAGATAAATACAATAAAATACGAATTAATTTATATGGTTACATCAGTTATTAGTGGCTGCTTTTTCACTTATACCATGGTTAACCAGGGTTTTATCAACATTTAACAGCCAATTTTTATGTAAAATTGTCCCCTAAATCCGAAAATACCGTCATATTATTAAAGTAAAGCAGTTTTTGAGATATAGTCAATTCCATATTATATAAAAAATTGACTATATCTCAAAAACTGTTCTTCTTTTCTAACTTTTGACGGCGTTTTAGGATTCAGGGGACAATTTTACATGAAAATTGACTGCTAAATGTTCGGGATTCAAATCGCTATTGACGAGAATAATTAGTGGCTGCTTTTTAGCTATGACAATTTTGATTTGATGTTTAAGTAATATATCTAAATCTAATCTAATATATATATATATATATATATATATATATATATATATATATATATATATATATATGTAAATCGACGTGTTCCGGGACACTGTAATACAGTGTATACATCCAGTGTACATTGGTATACATGGGTATACAATGGAGAATTTAATCATTTTCTTCCACTTCTTTTTATTTGTATACAATATTTTTTGACTTATAAAAGAAAAACAGTTCCAGGACATATACATAGATATATAGACGTGTTCCAGTACATATTAATTTATATCAATTCATGAACCTAATATACATTGTAAATTGGTATACATAGGTTTTACATAATGTATTTAATTATCTGCGCCAACTTTTTTTTACATGTATACAATTTATTTCGATTTATAAAAGAAAACATGTTCCAGGACATATACATAGATATGTATATGTGTTCCAGGACATCTGGGGGTGGTTTTAGATATACTATATCTAATCTAAAATTGATTATGGATTTAATATGATATGAATTTTAATTGTCTACCCTACCAACAATGACGATATCGTTTGTGTCGTCAATTTATTTTAATTATTATTATTATTTTAGATGTCGGATGATGAGTCAATTTTTCGTCAATTCGTCAATTTTTTCGTTATCCGTTTCGTCATTGTTGGTAGGGTAGGTCAAGTAAACACATTTTAAAAGGACTTTTTCCTAGTTATTATTTTAGGCCTAGGATAACTTTAGATTAGGAAGTGATTTATTTTGTATACTTTGATACTATTGCTCTTAATTTATGCGATTAACAGGTTGTTATATAAACAATTAAAAATACAATATTGTATCCAAATTAATAATTACATAATCCGGATTTTGTAAAAGTCTTTTAAAAACACAGCCTGTGTGTGTTAACAAAGGCAATCCACAAACGGTAGTGTATGTTAGGTTGCATAGGCGTTTCAGGACATTTCCTGAAGGGGTTGGGTTGGGTTTGGATTTTTTTTGCACTTTTGGGCGTTTTAGGACATTTCCTAAAGGGGTTGAGTTGGGTTGGGTTTGGTTTTTCAAGACATTTTCTAAAGGGGTTGGGTTGGGTTGGATTTTTTTGCATTTTTAGGCGTTTCAGGACATTTCCTGAAGGGGTTGGGTTGGCTTGGGTTGGGTTTTGATTTTTTTGCATTTTTAGGCGCTTCAGGACATTTCCTGAAGGGGTTGGGTTGGGCTAGCTTGAGTTTGGAATTTTTTGCATTTTTACGCGTTTCAGGACATTTCCTGAAGGGGTTAGGTTGGCTTGGGTTTGGGTTTTCACATTTCCTAAAGAGGTTAGGTTAGGTTGGGTTTTGATTTTTTCAATCAAAACCCAACCTAACCTAACCTCAAGTCAATTTTCCACTCCGGGGAAAATTGTAGGGGGTAAGTTCATATGAAACTTTTTGTTCCTCGCCAAAAGTACTATCTGATGAGCAAATAAAAAAAGAGGGTAACTCCTTCAGGAAATGTTCTGAAACGCCTAAAAATGCAAAACAATCCAAACCCAACCCAACCTAACCCCTTCTGAAAATGCACTGAAAGGCCTAAAAATCCAAAAAAATCCAAACCCAACCCAACCCAACCCCTTTAGGAAATGTGAAAACCCAAACCCAAGCCAACCTAACCCCTTTAGGAAATGTCCTAAAACACGATTTTTTTGCATTTTTAGGCGTTTCAGGACATTTCCTAAAGGGGTAAGGTTGGCTTGGGTTGGGTTTTGATTTTTTTTGCATTTTCACATTTCCTAAAGGGGTTGGGTTGGGTTGGGTTTGGATTTTTTTTGGATTTTTAGGCCTTTCAGTGCATTTTCAGAAGGGGTTAGGTTGGGTTGGGTTTGGATTGTTTTGCATTTTTGGGCATTTCAGAACATTTTCGAAAGGGGTTAGGTAAGGTTGGGTTTGTATTTTTTGCATTTTTAGGCGTTTCGGGACGTTTTCTAAAGAGGTTAAATTGGCTTGGGTTTGGGTTTTTTTTGCATTTTTAGGCGTTTCAGGACATTTCCTGGGTTGGGTTGGGTGGGTTTGGTTTTAAGAACATTTGCTGAAGGGGTTGAGTTGGGTTTGGATTTTTTGGCACTTTTAGGCGTTCCAGGACATTTCCTAAATTGGTTGCGTTGGGTTTGGTTTTAAGAACATTTACTGAAGGGGTTGGGTGGGGTTTGGATTTTTTTTGCATTTTTACGCATTTTAGGACATTTCCTGAAGGGGTTAGGTTGGCTTGGGTTTTGATTTTTTTGCATTTTTATGCGCTTCAGGACATTTCCTAAAGGGTTGGGTTAGCTTGGGTTTAGAATTTTTTACATTTTTACGCATTTTAGGACATTTTCTGAAGGGGTTAGGTTGGCTTGGGTTTTGATTTTCAGAACATTTCCTGAAGGAGTTAGGTTGGCTTGGGTTTGGGTTTTCACATTTCCTGAAGGGGTTGGGTTGGGTTTGGATTGTTTTGCATTTTTAGGCGTTTCAGAACATTTTCTGAAGGAGTTAGGTTGGGTCGCAATTTGTTGCATTTTTTGGCATTTCATGTCGTACCCGAAACGCGTTGGGTTGAGTTGGGTCCCATTTTTTTGAAACTTTATACCCTCTTTTTATTTGCTTATCGGATAGTACTTTTGGGGAGGTACAAAAAGTTTTATATGCACTTACCTCCTACAATTTTCCCCGGACTGGGAAATTGACTTTAAAAAATTAAAATACTTGGAAATTTTTTGAATAAAAATAAATTTGCAGGAATACCTTTTTTTATTTGCTCATCGGATAATACTTTTGGCGAGGAACAAAAAGTTTCATACGCACTTACCTCCTACAATTTTCCCCGGACTGGGAAATTTACTTTGAAAAACTAAAATACTTAAAAAAAATTTAAATAAAAATAATTTTGCAGAGATACCCTCTTTTTTTATTTGCTCATCGGATAGTACTTTTGGCGAGGAACAAAAAGTTTTATTTGGACTTACCCCCTACAATTTTCCTCGGACTGGGAAATTCACTTTGAAAAATTAGAATACTTGGAAATTTTTTGAATAAAAATAAATTTGCAGGAATACCCTCTTTTTTTATTTGCTCATCGGATAGTACTTTTGACAAGGAACAAAAAGTTTTATATGGACTTACCCCCAACTATTTTCCCCGGACTGGGAAATTGACATTAAAAAATTAAAATACTTTAAAATTTTTTAAATAAAAATAATTGTGCAGGGATACCCTCTTTTTTTATTTGCTTCTCAGATAGCACTTTTGGCCAGGAACAAAAAGTTTTATATGGAATTACCCTCTACAATTTTCCCCGGACTGGGAAACTGACTTTGAAAAACTAAAATACTTGAAAAAATTTTTAATATAATTTTGCAGGGATATCCTTCTTTGTAATTTGCTTATCAGATAGTATGTTCGGTGAGGAATAAAAAGTTTCATATGGACTTACCCCCTACAATTTTCCCCGGACTGGGAAGTTGACTTTGAAAAACTAAAATACTAAAATTTTTAATAAAAATAATTTTGCAGGGATACCCTTTTTTTATTTGCTCATCGGATAGTACTTTTGGCGAGGAACAAAAAGTTTTATATGTACTTACCCCCTACAATTTTCCCCGGACTGGGAAATTGACTTTGAAAAATTTTAAAACTTGAATATTTTTTGCATT